TCGACTAACCGGGTGCCCCCGCACATTGACTCTGTGCCGGTACCCCCTGTATATAGCCCCGCTACTGTTATTTTACTGCTGCTCTTTAATTATTTGTTATTTTTATTTATCAATTTTTTACTTAACACTTATTTTTCTTAAAACTACATTGTTAAAAAGCATTTCACTGTTGTATTTGGCACATGTGACAAATAAAATTTGATTTGATTTGATCTTATCTTGTCTTCATTTAGGACCTTCTGTGTCTCGGCAGCCTCTTTAGGAACAGTGTAGATTTTACCACCTACCGTAGTGAGAGGAACTTGAGATTTTGGTATTTTTTGGGGGACTGGAGATCTTGGGTGGGCCACCCATGTCTGGGACATACTGTCAACTTTAACAGACCAACGCTGGCCTTTAGTAATGATTTGTGTTTAATGTAAGCAGAGGACACCACCAGTCCCTCTTCATAAGAGAGAGAGAGAGGGAGAGAGAGAGGGAGGGCAGAGAGAGAGAGAGCGGGAGGGCAGAGAGAGTAGAACGTAGAAAGAGAGAGAGAGTGAGAGAGAGGGAGAGAGAGATAGAAAGAGTATGTGAGCGAGAGAGAGGAGAGATAGAGAGAGAGAGAGAGGAGGGGAGGAGCGAGAGAGAGCGAGAGAGCGAGAGAGAGACGAGAAGAGAGGGAGAGAGAGAGAGAGAGGAGAGAGCGAGAGAAAGAGAGAGAGTGAGAGAGAGAGTGAGAGAGAGAAAGAGAGAGAGAGAGCGAGAGAGAGGGAGAGACTCACTTGTCAGAATGCAGAGCAGAAAGAGATACTCGGTGTAAGCGATGATGCCTGGAAAGAAAATGAGAAGAGGGAACATCAAAGGACGAGATTAATTTGTTAAGTACAAGAAGAGGAAGCTGCGCGCTTCTCATATTCCTATCTCGTCTCGCGAGAGCTGCAGATCGACGGAGCTGCTCTCTTACTCTATCTCTATCTCTATCGCTCTCTCTCTCTCTCTCTCTCACCAACTCTCAAACAGCTGGGGCACTAGAGGCGGCTTGGCTGAAGGCCAGATTAAAATGTTTACTGATTGTTCAAAGACGGGCCTCCTCTAGATAAATGGAAGGGTAGAACAGACCCTCCCCTCCTCCCCTCTTCTCCCTCCTCCTCCCGGAGAGTAGGAGAGAACGAGTAATCCCCCTTTCATGCAGATAACATCTAAAAATGTAAAAAGGTGCCTTTGAGTTGAGCCGCAGGCGGTGTTTTGGGCACACCGGAGCTGCGGGTGTTTTAACACTGCAAGAGACCGGAGTGGAGACCCAAGACCTAGAACACTGGGTGGTAGCATGTGCACTCTCTCTCACACACACACACACACACACACACACACACACACACACACACACACACACACATAAACATGTACACACCCCTGCTCTACAGACCAACCTCATCCCAAACAGAATAGCACACACACACGAGACAAACACGTAACACACCCATTCATACCCACACACACACACACACACTCACACCCCACACGACACACGACAACCACAACACGTGGGGAGAAAGAGATCACATAAAGCCGCGTTGTGTTTGGAGAAGCGAGGTGTAAAGCGTTGAGGGGATGATCAGCCTGAGGATGTGTTCCATTTAGCACCACTCCCTCTCTCTCTTGTTGAGCCCAGACAAACAGGACCGCTACGTGTTCCTGGCTCATTTTCAGACGACCGTCTGCTGTGGCCCATGTTTCAGACAGGAACCGCTGCTGTGGGCCTGGCTCTGTTTCAGACAGACCGCTGTCTTGTGGCTGGCTCATGTTTCGACAGTATACCGCTGCGTTGCCTGTGCTCCTGTTTCAGACCTGGACCTCTGCGTGGCCTTGGTCATGTTTCAGACAGGACCGCTGCTGTGGCCTGGGTCATGTTTCAAGACAGGACCGCTGCTGTGGCCTGGCTCATGTTTCAGACAGGACCGCTGCTGTGGCCTGGGTCATGTTTCAGACAGGACCGCTGCTGTGGCCTGGGTCATGTTTCAGACAGGACCGCTGCTGTGGCCTGGCTCATGTTTCAGACAGGACCGCTGCTGTGGCCTGGCTCATGTTTCAGACAGGACCGCTGCTGTGGCCTGGCTCATGTTTCAGACAGGACCGCTGCTGTGGCCTGGGTCATGTTTCAGACAGGACCGCTGCTGTGGCCTGGCTCATGTTTCAGACAGGACCGCTGCTGTGGCCTGACTCATGTTTTCAGACAGGACCGCTGCTGTGGCTGCTCATGAATCCGACAGGACCGCTGCTGTGGCCTGGGTCATGTTTCAGACAGGACCGCTGCTGTGGCCTGGCTCATGTTTCAGACAGGACCGCTGCTGTGGCCTGGCTCATGTTTCAGACAGGACCGCTGCTGTGGCCTGGCTTATGTTTCAGACAGGACCGCTGCTGTGGCCTGGGTCATGTTTCTCTGTGTGTGTGTGTGTGTGTGTTTCTGTGTGTGCTCATGTTTCTCTATGTGTGTGTGTGTGTGTGTGTGTGTTTCTGTGTGTGTGCTCATGTTTCTCTATGTGTGTGTGTGTGTGTGTGTGTGTGTGTTTCTGTGTGTGTGCTCATGTTTCTCTATGTGTGTGTGTGTGTGTTGGTCTGTTACACGACGGCTGAAAGCATTCCCCCTTCCACCAGGTTTTTGTTTGGAGAGAAAGACAGTAGCCTGTCTGTCCACTGATAGTTCAGGGTGACCGCACTGAGTGTTACGGCAGAGAGACTCCCTGCTTCAGGAAGGGGAGAGGAGGGGAACATGATACCTCAGCTTAGTGGAGCTACCCTGGCCCCCTGGCACCCTGGCCCCCTGCCCTGGACCTCACACTAGGGATGGATGCTCCCTGTCCCAGGCTTACTCAAATACTCAATACAGCTAATAACAACTTTGGCAGTAGCCGTTTTGCTTTGCTTGTCTCCTACGAGGAGAGATCAATTCAATAAAGTATTTTTAACTGCAACTATCTGGTGTCTTTATCCTACTAGTTTAGCCTCCTACAGTTTTTTAAAAATGTGTACATTTAAATGTTTAGTCATTTAGCAGACACTCTTATCCAGAGCCTCTTTTGGTAGTGAGGATACATTTGAATACATAAGAAGCCAAAGAACACCTTACCAGATGAACTCTTATTGTAATCCGAGTGCACTTTTTCACAACTTCTACAGCCAGGAGTTTTCCCAGACCTCATGATCTGATCAACAATCTGGGCCCAAGTCAAGAAAAGCCTGATAAGATGGTATGCTCTTGTATATTACAGTAGACTTTGATCAGCAGCCCCGTATTGAAAAGGCCTTGTTTCCTATATGCCTTTTGGAAGTGGAAGGCCCTTGTTAACTATCCCACTTTAAAAGCCTACTTTCTCTGACGTGTTTGTACTGTGCACTGCAGTGAGAGAGAGCATCACTGGATTCCAGACGCGAGTCACCCATACCACACGCACACACACACACACACACACACACACACACACACACACACACACACACACACACACACACCACACACACACACACACCACACACACACACACACTCTCTCTCTCTTCTTGACATGACAACACAAATAAAATGTGCTGGGGCAACACACAGTAACATTCCAGAGTCTGCCGCCCTGCACCGACTCATGCGCACGGCAAAGGTCTCCGTCGGCAACGGTAATCCGATGCCATTCCGGGGATTCAAACTGTCCTCGGCCGTCACCGAGCGCCAAAGGAACGTTCCGACTCACCGAGACAAACAACAGAACGTGTCTCCACGTGTCTCCCCCAACCAACCTTGTTCCCGGATCACCCATTCTTTCTTCCTTTGATCTCGTCCCTTCCCTTCCCCCTCCGTCCAACACCCCCCCTTCTCCCCTCTTTCCTCCCCCTTCCTCTCCTCCCGAGAAGAAAGGAGGGGGGGGGGGACGGAAAGCAGGAGGGAGGAGCGAGAAGAGAAGGAAAGGGAAGAGAAGGAAGAGAAGAGAAGGAAGAAGAGAAGAGAAGGCAAAAGAGAAGAGAGAAGAGGGAAGACCGGGCCGTTTGTTTCACTTAGCTCAGTCTAAGCCGAATGTATAAGCTCATACCTCTCCTCTCGTACGATCATACCTTATCCTCATCCCTTCCTTCCTTCCGAAGGCATCGGCCGCTCCGAGACCGTTTGCATTGGTCCGTCCGACATCTCTCCTATTCCTTCCTCTCCTCTCCTCTCCTCTCCTCTCCTTTCCTTTCCTTTCCTTTCCTCCTCTCCTTTCCTTTCCTTTCCTCTCCTTTCCTCCTCTCTCTGTTTTTGGTGGGGCCTTGCTGATGTTAACTGGCAGGATTAAAAGGGTGGTGTGTGTGTGTGCATGCGTGCGTGTGTGTATGTGTGTGTGAGTACGTGCACGGGCTGCCTCCCTAAAGCAACAGAGGGAAGGACAAGAAAACATTTACACCTCGCTACCCTGGAGCCCAGGTGTGAGCTTCTTAGGGAGACAGAGACACCAGGGTGTTACTGTGTGTGTGTGTGTGTCTGTGTGTTACTGTGTGTGTGTTAATGTGTGTGTGTGTGTGTATTACAGTGTGTGTTACTGTGTGAGTGTGTGTGTTTTACTGTGTGTGTGTTTTACTGTGTGTGTGTTAATGTGTGTGTGTTACTGTGTGTGTGTGTTAATGTGTGTGTGTGTTACTGTGTGTGTGTGTTACTGTGTGTGTGTCCGTGTGTGTTACTGTGTGTGTGTGTGTGTGTGTGTTACTGTGTGAGTGTGTGTGTGTGTTACTGTGTGTGTATATCTGTGTGTGTAGTCTTGGGAGAGGCCTCAACAACTTTCTCCCTGCCATTCAAAGAAACGCCAACACTAGAACCAGCCAGCATGAAAATCTGCTGCATCTTGGAGACAGGCCCAACTTCCTCACTAGTGTTTTCCTAATACACTCCTACTTCACATTCCACATCTAGTGTCATACACTTCTAGTGTACTAATCTACTTACAACACCAATACTACAGAACAGCCCTTTTCACTAGTACACACTTCTATTACAACACTATACTAGACCTCTACTTCAATTACCTCTCCTCTCCTCTCCTCTCCTCTCCTCTCCTCTCCTCTCCTCTCCTCTCCTCTCCTCTCCTCTCCTCTCCTCTCCTCTCCTCTCCTCTCCTCTCCTCTCCTCTCCCCAGAGAAATTCTTCCCCTGGATACTGTTCCCAGAGAAAACATACCAGTCGGGTAGGATTGAAGAAAAACACATACACACACACACAAACACAATAACACACAATGCATAATCATTACCTTCATTTGGAATGCTTAGCAGGTTTCATAACATGACACATAACTGTATAAACATATGAGCATAATATGAGGATGATCTGCATGCAAACAACATATCAGTTATGGAGATGATATTGTGAGGAGAATTAAAGAGGGAGGGAGAACTTTCTTGCATTATCACAGGGTTAAAGGGGTGTAGAGGTAGAGAGAAGAGAGGGATTAGAGAGGGTTAGAAAAATAGAGAGAAACAGAGAAGGGGGGAGAGAGAAGGAGAAAGAGAGAGAGTATGCATGTGTGTATGAATGTGTGCATATAACTCTCTGGTGTTAACACAGGGGTAGAGGGGTAGAGGGAGGAGGGGAGAGAGAGAGAGAGTAGAGAGAGGAGAGGAGAGAGAGAAGGGTAGAGAGAGGGGTAGTTAGGGTTAGATAGAGAGGAGAGCAGCGAGAGGGGTAGGGAGAGGAGAAGAGAGAGAGAGGGGTAGAGAGAGGAGAGGAGAGGAGAAAGAGAGGGGGTTAGAGAGAGGAGAGGGGTAGAGAGAGGGGGTAGAGAGAGGAGGGGGTTACGAGAGAGGGGGTGGATGAGAGGAGGAGGAGAGGAGAGAGGGGTAGGAGGAAGAGGAGAAGAGATGGAGAGGAGGGGTTTTAGTGGGGGTAGAGGGGGAGGGCGAGGAGGAGATAGAGGGGTAGGAAGAGGGAGACGAGAGAGAGAGGGGGTAGAATGGGGGTAGAGGGAGGAGAGGAAGGAGAGAGAGGGGGTAGCGAGAGGAGAGGAAGAGGAGAGGAGAGAGAGAGGGGTAGCTTTTTTTTTTTTTTTGTAGAGCGAGGAGGAGGGGTTAGAGGAGGTGAGAGAGAGGAGGAGGAGAGAGAGGAGAGGGGTGGAGGAGGAGAGGGGTAGGAGGAGAGGGGTAGGAGAGGGAGGGAGGGTAGGAGGGAGGAGATGCAAAAGGGGTTGAGAGAGGAGAGAGAGAGAGGGTAGAGAGAGGAGAGGGGTAGAGAGAGGGGTAGAGAGAGGAGAGAGAGAGGGGTAGAGAGAGGGAGGAGAGTGAGAGGGGTAGAGGGGTAGAGGGAGGCGAGAGAGAGGGGTAGAGGGAGGAGAGAGAAAGGGGTTGAGAGAGGAGAGGAGAGAGAGGGGGGTAGAGAGAGGGAGGAGAGAGAGAGGGGTAGAGGGGTAGAGGGGTAGCGGGAGGAGAGAGAGAGGGGTAGAGGGAGGGAGGAGAGGACCATAATTGAGTGAGGTTTATATTTAGCTTCCTGGTTGGGGAAGGCAGTATGGCAGGCTGCTGAGCGTGTTATAATTATCACCGTGGGGAATCAACAGCCGTGTGATTCCACTGTTACGCGCTCCACAAGCAAATGCTTTAATTGCGACCGGGCCCCAGCTTCTCTCCCTTGCTCTCTCTTGAACAGTATGTGTCTCTCTCTCTCTGTGGTACAGTATGTGTCTCTCTCTCTCTGTGGTACAGTATGTGTCTCTCTCTCTCTGTGGTACAGTATGTGTCTCTCTCTCTCTCTCTGTGGTACAGTATGTGTCTCTCTCTCTCTGTGGTACAGTATGTGTCTCTCTCTCTCTGTGGTACAGTATGTGTCTCTCTCTCTCTCTGTGGTACAGTATGTGTCTCTCTCTCTCTGTGGTACAGTATGTGTCTCTCTCTCTCTCTGTGGTACAGTATGTGTCTCTCTCTCTCTGTGGTACAGTATGTGTGTCTCTCTCTCTCTCTGTGGTACAGTATGTGTCTCTCTCTCTCTGTGGTACAGTATCTCTCTCTCTCTCTCTCTCTCTCTCTCTGTGGTACAGTATCTCTCTCTCTCTCTCTCTCTCTGTGGTACAGTATGTGTCTCTCTCTCTCTGTGGTACAGTATGTGTCTCTCTCTCTCTGTGGTGCAGTATGTGTCTCTCTCTCTCTGTGGTACAGTATGTGTCTCTCTCTGTGGTACAGTATGTGTCTCTCTCTCTCTGTGGTACAGTATGTGTGTCTCTCTCTCTCTCTGTGGTACAGTATGTGTCTCTCTCTCTCTCTGTGGTACAGTATGTGTCTCTCTCTCTCTGTGGTACAGTAAATGTCTTATTAATTTATGACTCATTTTCATTGTTGAAATGTTTATGTTGGAGACGATGGATGGAGGACAGAAGGCTTTGCTGTCGGAAGAGAGCTGCTGCATGTTGTTGGAGGAATGGAGGAGAGGGTGAAGAGAAGGAAAGAGAGGAGGAGATGAGGAGAAGAGAGGGGAGGGAGGGAAAGACAGAGGAGAAGAGAAGAGAGGGGAGGGGAACAAAAATCCGATCAAATGTTATTTGCCACATGCGCCGAATACAACAGGTGTAGACCTTACAGTGAAATGCTTACTTACAAGCCCTTAACCAACAATGCAGTTTTAAGAAAAATACGTGTTAAGCAAAAAATAGATCAGTACATTTTTTAAATTAAAAGTAATTAAAAAGAGGGAAATCAAAGGAGAGGAGAGAAAGGAGTACGAAAACAGAGAAGAGGAGGGATGAAGAAAGAGAGGGAGAGGGCAACAGAAGAGCGACAAGGAAAGGAGGAGAGGGAACTGAGGGGAGAGGTGGAGAAGAGAGGAGGATGAGAAGAGAGGACAGTATAGGATGAGAGGATGGCATGGGAGGAGCAGAGAGAGTGGTTCTATTTTTAGGGTTTACCAGGGCGACCGTAAGGTGACCACAGGGGGGGACCGTGTGGCACCGGCATCGGCTTAGAGGAACCACACTGTGACCAGAGCCTTTACACCTAGACACACCGCAACACTGTCACTGTCATTTAGCCTGTAGCATTATGACATCATGGAGCACTGTCACTGTCATTTAGCCTGTAGCATTATGGCATCATGGAGCACTGTCACTGTCATACAGCCTGCAGCATTATGACATCATGGAGCACTGTCACTGTCATACAGCCTGCAGCATTATGACATCATGGAGCACTGTCACTGTCATACAGCCTGGAGCATTATGACATCATGGAGCACTGTCACTGTCATACAGCCTGGAGCTAAAGTATCATACATCAACACTTTTCATATAGCCAACAGCCCAACACTGTCACTGTCATACAGCCCGGACTAGATAAACCAAGACAAACTGCACCACTTTCACTGGTCTGTAGCTATGACTGGTCTGTAGCTACGACTGGACTGTAGCTTTGACAGGACTGGAGCTACGACAGGACTGTAGCTATGACTGGACTGGAGCTATGACAGGACTGGAGCTACGACAGGACTGGAGCTATGACTGGTCTGTAGCTATGACTGGACTGTAGCTATGACAGGACTGGAGCTACGACAGGACTGGAGCTACGACAGGACTGGAGCTATGACAGGACTGTAGCTATGACTGGACTGTAGCTATGACAGGACTGTAGCTACGACAGGACTGTAGCTATGACTGGACTGGAGCTATGACAGGACTGTAGCTATGACTGGACAGTAGCTATGACAGGACTGGAGCTACGACAGGACTGGAGCTACGACAGGACTGGAGCTACGACAGGACTGTAGCTATGACAGGACTGTAGCTATGACAGGACTGTAGATATGACAGGACTGGAGCTATGACAGGACTGTAGCTATGACAGGACTGGAGCTATGACAGGACTGTAGCTATGACAGGACTGGAGCTATGACAGGACTGTAGCTATGACAGGACTGTAGCTATGACTGGACTGTACATGACTTTCCATGACTTTAACTATATGAAATCGCTTACTCTCTCAGATAACATGCTAATCAGTGTACGTGTGTGTGTGTGTGTGTGTGTGTGTGTGTGTGTGTGTGTGTGTGTGTGTGTGTGTGTGTGTGTGTGTGTGCGTGTACGTGTGTGTACTAGCTCAAGGTGACTTTGCCATATGGAAGTGTGTGAAGTCAGTCAGTCACACACACACACAATCCATTGCGAGGTACACAGAACGTTCCTTTAGTCCCTACCTCGTTCCCGTAGGTTCCGGAACAGTTTGGACGTTCCCTGCCACACCGCTGGAGTTTCTACCAAGATCTTCTCCAGTTCCTGGTGTCAACAGAGACAACGCTATGAGTCTTCACAGACACACAGCCACTCCATGGCCAAGTCCAAAATGACACCATATTCCCTACATAGTTTACTACTTTGGACCAAAGCCCTATGGGCCCTGATCAAAAGTAGTGCACTATATAGGGAAAAGGGTATATAGGGAAGAGGGAATAGGGTGTCATTTGGGATGCAGCCCATGAGTCATGACTTTAACCTTTAGAAGAGTCACTGTCTGACTAGAACATCTAAACATGCTATGCTGTTGCTGCATGTTAGGAACAGATGTAGGATCTTAATTTGATCACCCTGTCGCAGGAGAACTTTCCTGAAATCCAGGAAATGTAAAACTTGTAGTGTATTTGAGGTTTAAAAAGGCTTCTGAAGTTTGTAATTTCCACACAGAAATTTCTGATTAGAATTTCCCTTACGAAAAATGTATCAATCCCAACAAAAATATCCATTAATTATAATCCACATAATAATTCACATTTCCTGTTACTGCAGAATAATTTTCCTGCTGTACCAAACTGGCTCAAATTAAGATCCTCCCTCTGTAGTAGCGTGTATACGACAGTATGCTTCCAAGTCAATTGCTGCTGCAATTCTATGGCAGTGGGGCAGCAGGTAGCCTAGCGGTTAAGAGCGGTGGGCCAGTAACCCAAAGGTCGCTGGTTTGAATCCCCGAGCCGACTAGGTGAAACATTTGTCGATGTGCCCTTGAGCAAGGCACTTAAACGTAATTGCTCCTGTAAGTCGCTCTGGATAAGAGTGTCTGCTGAGTGACTAAAATGTAAAGTGTCTATAAGTGCAGCGAATAGGGAAGATGACTATACTGTGTACGTACGGTATTACAGCTAACTGCACAACTAATCATCACTAGCCCTGCCTAAAACATTCCATATCAATATGTTCTGAATATACAGTTTATCATCACTAGCCCTGCCTAAAACATTCCATATCAATATGTTCTGAATATACAGTTTATCATCACTAGCCCTGCCTAAAACATTCCATATCAATATGTTCTGAATATACAGTTTATGATCACTAGCCCTGCCTAAAACATTCCATGTGAATATACAGTTTATTACATATACAGTATAGGCAGGAACAGGAGTTTTATAGCATAGCTCTTAATCAACAAAAATACTAACTGTTCTCAGACCTGTTTAGTGAGGGACCTCCACGGCTTCTTGTCTGGAGGAAAGAGGGAGAGAGAGAAAGAGAGAGAGAAAGTGAGTGAGAAAGAGAGAGAGAGAGAGAGAGAGAGATGAAGATAGAGAGAGAAAGTGTGAGAGAGAGAGAGAGAGAGGAGAGAGAGAGAGAGAGAGAGAGAGAGAGAGAGAGAGAGAGAGAGAGAGTATAACAGTGTGTGGGTGGGCTGGATCAGATAACATCAGTATGAGGGGCTCCGTAGTCATAATAATCCATCCATACACTGTCACCATAGACCTATTACAATGCCATAAAGTGCCCTGTGCTTAGCTTTGTACTGTAGCACTGTGTCTGTCTGGGGCAATGTTCTAAAAGTGCAGATTTGTTTTGGCCTTTATAAAGGGGTGGTATAATTCAACCTCAAAGGATGCATTAGATGGCCTATGACACACACACACACACACACACATACCCTTTAAAAGCCCCATCTATCCCATTCTCAGTCTGGAGTCTGGCCTGTGTGCTGTGCGACAGGGGGAATTCTCCTCAGACTAACATTAACCATCAGACTAAACAATGTTACACACGCCCGTATCTTCTGAGGTCCACCGGCTACGAGCTATCTGTTAAGAAACCTCCCAAAACAGAGGCATTAGACTGGCAGAAGGAGAAAAGAAACCACGGGCCATACACACTGAGATCCTCACTGGGCTGTGAGTGTCTTCTCTCTCTCTCTCATAGCAACCAGTGCTATGTAGCGCTGCCGAGTCGGGGTAGCTGGCTTATACAGGGAGTTAGTGGTGTGTGTGTGTGTGTGTGTGTGTGTGTGTGTGTGTGTGGTGTGTGTGGTGTGTGTGTGTGTGTGTGTGTGTGTGTGTGTGTGTGTGTGTGGTGTGTGTGGTGTGTGTGTGTGTGTGTGTGTGTGTGTGTGTGTGTGTGTGTGTGGTGTGTGTGTGTGTGTGTGTGTGTGTGTGTGTGTGTGTGTGTGTGTGTGTGTGTGTGTGTGTGTGTGTGTGGAGTCAGAGTAGTATACATGTTAACTTCAAATCTCTGAAAGGGCTCTCTGGATTTAAATGTCAGCTTTCTAGGGTTTGTGGAAATTCATTCAACTCTCAATCTGCTTCTTTGTCAGGATGATTATATGATTATTTTCAATGGAGGTTTATTAATAGAAAACTGAACATTTGTATTTTTGTACTGAATTTGTTGGCAAATAAATAATTTAAGGCCCATATCCACAAAGCATCTTAAAATAGGACTGCTGATCTGGGATCAGTTAGCCTTTTAGATCATAATGAATAAGATCATATGGACAGAGGGGAACACATCCTAGATCAGCACTCCTACTCTGAGATACTTTGTGGATATGGGCCCTGCTCTCTATATGCAGCTCTATTTAAGCCATGCAGAACATTATAGCTGACAAAACATAACAGATAAAAAGTAATTTCACTTAATGAGGCAGTGGGGGATAGATATGAACTGCATAGAGTGAGTGAAACTATTATTTTGTAATGGGCACCATTTTGGATCTGGAAGGTTGCTAAAATATATTCCAGGTTAGAAATAATCATGGAACTTTTGGAGCCAAGATGGAGGGTCGGTTTCCCAAGATTGCATCATAAATATGGTAACTGTGTCCTAGTCGTACATACTTCGGGGCTCGCTCATGGTGACGGACTCGATGAAGTTCTGCGGAGTCATGTAAAGCTGTCCCTCATATTCCACTGAGCTGAACAGACGGAAGCGCTGCTCGTGGGACGACATGTACACGTCCCCTTCCTCAAAGTCAAATGGCTGTGCCTGGCAACACACAAACAAACAAACAAACTGGTTGGTTTTGCTTAGGGACATTTTCAATGCAATGCATTGTGGACTTGAGCATTTTGACACCGTACTGTAATATCTTTCCTCCTGGGCCTAAGGGTGAAGAAATAAAAACAAGCCTTTCTTTCTCAACGATTCTCTCTCTCTCTCTCTTCCTGTCTCTCTCTCCCTCCTTCTCTATCAGAGCTGTAACAGAGAAATCAAATATCACCCTCCACCTGGCAAACCGCCCTCCAATCAATACTCTAACCAGTAGCCAGAAGCACACAGCTCCTCTAGAAAGACAATATTGATACTACTCCTCTCACTGTCTCTCGAAGATGCCAGCTAAACCCCTTTCTCTACTACCCTATCCCTCTTCCTTTCTCTCTTGCACCCTCTCTCCTTCTCTCCATCCTTCTATCAGCGCTGTAATAGAGAAAATCAAATATCACAATCTACTTGGCGAGACCAAGCCATCCTACAATCAATGGGCTACTAGGGAGAAAGTCTCAACAACAGCCTTGCTGTTGAACAGAATAGTAGCTCTTCTAGAGAGACAATACTGCTCACACCCGGCCTTCTTGAAGATGCCAGCTGAACCACTACCGTGTCCTTGCTTTGAATGTATTCTTAGCGGCATCTTTATGTGGATCTCTCTGTCTATAATTAGATCCACCTCTGGTTCTTTCACACAAGGCATTGAGGGAAAGACAGCTTGCCTGATTAAAATACAGCTAAGTGCCACTGCGCAAAGAAACAAACCGACTTCTTGGGTTGTAATTAGAAATGGGTATAAATATAGGACCAACTCTGCCGTGCCTGACGGGAGGAAACGACGCACAGAGGTTTTCTGCTTTCCGCTAGAGCCCAATTTGCATACAGATTCATTCATAAAGCTTTCATGAGGAGATTGTGTTAAGCAATTTTTTTTTACAAAGGCATTAATTGAATGGAGAGAAATGGAAGGAAATTTCCCCAGAGAAGAGTAGAAGAAGAAGTCACTTCCTGGTTTGACCCCCCCCCCCCCCCCAGCCTTCTAACTCTGATTGATGTACAAATAACTTAATCCGCTACTACATTTGCTTTAAAATCTTCAAACTTTCAATTCTAGCATTTTCCTGATAAATGAATAAACACGTCCATGATTCAAACCATTCCATCACACTGTGTCATGCATTTCTAGCAGTAAATGTCAATGTCTCCAATGGGAATTTACCCCAATTTACCCGTCAGTGCCTTGTCAAACAGAATCAGGCCTACACAGAAATCAGTAAAAGGCATATGTCTGTAGCCTAAGATGCATGTTTAAGTAATCAAATAAAAGTTAAGAGAATTCAATCAAAAGCTCTTCGAACTGCAATATAAAATGTTGTTTTGAGTACAAGCCAAGCATGCCTGCCCATATAAGGGAATGTAAAAAAATATCCTAACAGAGTCATCCAGACCGTGAGAACAAAAATATGATCTCCTGACAAAAGTGGAGATGATTTGAAATTATTGGTTGTTTACATGTATTTTCCATTACCAATTAAGTTGGCCATGGGATAAGAAATAAAGAGCATTTGTTTATAATACAATTCAGAAAGAAATCCAATTGTATTATTTTGTTAGGAAGTGTAAGAACAGTCGTTGGGCAGTGAAGCCTCCTTTGCCGTAACTACCTCAAAGGGGCGCGCGCGTGTCATTTCAGCACTGTCTCGAGCGGAGAGCGCCCTTCCTTCTTCAGTGTGCCTCGTTATCATCTCTTGAAATAATGTGCCAAATGTTTCCGTTGTTCAGTCGAGAAATGACCCAATTTATCCACTCAGGGAAAATGTAACTAGTAGCCTACTAGGCTAGTCATGAGTCTGTGGTTTCCAAATTAAATTTAAAAGGAAGAACATAATCCTAAAACACTTTGAAATAGGCGCTGCGCTTCTCGGATTCTCTGACCACTCTCACTCACTCAGGCTATAACACATTCATGACAGAATGCCTATGACAGCGAGTTTATATTCTGTAAACATACGAATACTTTTCGGGGACAAGAGTACTCGCTGCGTGGCATTTTTCATAGACTATCTTGTCATAGCACATAGCGTGAAATAGTGGCCTATACCTTTTGCTGTGCTGCTACAGCGAAAAGGGAAGGGAGCAGGTCGCGGCCACTGAAGCTATATCCCATCCTCTTCCTGCATCTTTGACTGTACATGTCGTTGTAAAAATAAAATGCCACCGCTCCCCCGGTTGCAAGACACGTCCCAACAGCGAGGCATCTCCGTGTCCTCCCTCCGGTAGTCGTCTGAGCGCCGAGGAGCTCGTTTCTCGGAGCGGACCAGACATTTAACCTGTTTACGATTGAAGCCAGTCTGCGAAAAGCGGCCATTGTTGTTGCTATGATGAGAGTATTGGAGGAGAAACGTATTCTCACTCCTCGCGAGATGTGGATCATATTCTCACTCCGCTTCACCCGAGTTTTGGATGCTGCGGCTCTGACCGAAGTCCGGCTTTGAACCAGAATCCAAGACAGATAGATTTGATGCTCCAATGGGTTTGGGACAGCATAAGGCGCTTATTTTTGAATCTAGGTGAATTATATACATAGTTGTGTTACTATTCTAATTAGAAGCCAATATTTTTCCATTCAGGAGAATCAGTACCTATGCAAATTTTGACAAGCCCTATTCAAACACGAATGACTGCAAATAAAACATAATGTAGGCTAGTAATAAGTCACTTGTTTAACAATGTCCACGTTTCTCTGTTGGCTATTATATGGTCCCGAGTGTTGGGGCAATGTTTTAAGAAAAGTTGTACTTTTTGTAGAAAATGTACTTTATTGCAAATCATGATCATGTTGTTTCATCATGATGTTACACAAGAACTTCTTACAGCTGGATCAAGGCAGTTTCGAAGTAAGACAGATATTAAGAGAACAAAGATTGCTGCATTTGACTTACTACATAGGCTATAGCCTAATGCTTTATATATCAACGTTAAGCCGATGGGTTGTTCAAGTTGCCTTTGATGCCTACCACCTGGTCATGCAAAGGCCTGTGTGGTTTTCTCCCCACTCCCATGTACAATAAAAAAAAAAACCCAGATCAAACAACACTGCATTTACTCTGCACGGAGCTCCACAATGTGCAGTGGGGAGATCTTTCAATGTGACCCTGGAAACAATTAATCTAATGCCAATGTCATCACGAAATTTGGCATGTAATTGACGTCTTCATTGTGGCGCATCGATCCGCGCGCGCATATGGATTGATCGCTTCTGCGCCGCGCGCATCGATTTTGTTTCAAGGTATTTTTTGGGAAATCATAAATACTAATGAGCCCTGGGAAGCCAACAGGGAGAGAAAGGTCCCCGGAGAGAGATCCTGATGAATCACCTATGTGAGGAAATGGTCACTAGGTCATTTGCAACCAGTCGATTCCCATGGCCAGGCAGATGCAATGCATGCGCTGCTGCCTTGTACCCTATCAGTTAGACTCAGGTCATTGGCTGCCTCCCCTGTACCCTATTATCCCATGCTAGAATCAATTCAATGCAATACATGTTAGGGCATAGGCCTATACACTGGAGGCTATCTGTAAATGTAGGATCGCTAATATGGGCAAAGTGGCTTGAACTATTTCATGCGCTGGTAGGCTACCATATTGTCCCTACCATATTGTCCCATGCCCAACACCAATCCAATACAACAGTCTACATAGGGATAGTGTAATTCACTGCATACACAACAGGCTATTTGTAAACGTTTATAATATAGGCAAAGGGGCTTGAACTATTGGGTTGTTTTTCTGGGGGAACTCTCGGTGACGGTGTCAAGTAGCCTAGGCCTATCTGGGTATTTTGAAGCTCTAGGTTCAAACAGGTTTGTATCTTCCAAGTTCCCCCTGACTGTTGTTGGTCCCCTTACAAGATCTCTCAACTTTGATCGCTCTGGGCTTTGATTCCTAGCCTCTTTAAGACCACAATTAAGAAGAGCGTGTTCAAAGAGGCCAGGAGATCAGTGGAGGATTTACAGTCAAGTGATGCCGTTTGCACAGATGTGCGGCGGGTTATTAGGGTCTGTTTCTAAACGCGCCGTGGAACAGCCACTGGATTACATAAAACAAGTGCGGCAATAAATCAACATCTGTGCGCGAAAATGACGCGAAAGAAGGGGAAGTTTTTCTCTCACCCCCAGCAGCAAATGACTGCACCTGAGTCACTCGAGCCGTAGGGTTATAAAGCGTTTAGGATGATAGTAATTATCTACTATATGGACACGTGCTCGCACGCACGCAAACACACACAATTGAAACACAAACACACACCCCCTTAACACACACTGCTGCAGGGTATTTATTTACGGAGAACATATAACACTCCTGGCAGTCAGTGCAGTTCTCAACTCAAAACATCCCCTACTCTTGTTCTGTTTTCCCCTCCCTCCCATCCATTGCATCTCCACCTGCCATACGTCTTTGACACACACACACACACCCCTCTTCACTGGCTGCACTCGCCTAGTGCACCAAACCATTTGGAGCCAGCCAGGAAAGCCGTAGTGTTCTGTAGGTAGGCTACTGCGCATTCCCCTGCGACACCGTAGAGAAAACAACCTTGATTCACACGGCGTTTTATTAAAGGATCAACTCTCATTGACTTCTTTTTCACTGTTTTCCTTTCTAATCGCTTACAGTACTTTTCATAATCCATCTATGGGACGATGATAATCGGCGATGCAGATTAAACTGAACATCAAAGGTGTGAGTACAGTCAAGGATCAAGGAGTTATGTTTCAAAAAGAAATCTATAAAGCGCAAAATTAGCATACGGCAAGCCGGAATTTACATACGGAATATATTTAAAGTGGCGCTCCTCTCAAGCTCGCACTCTTCATTTGTAGCACGCAGTGAGCACGAGCTGAGCACTCACCCTGTAACCGCATCAACGACTGAGACGGGAGGAAAACCCGAACGAACTGAGCAAAGGGGAGTAGCCCGAGGTCGAGAGAGGAGAGCATGTGCTGAGCTGAGGATAAACGGATAATATGCGGATGTAAATAAAACGCGCACTTGCAAGAGAGAGAAAAAACGCATTTGGTGACTGCGCAAAAACACACATTCACTCAGGAGGATCCCTCTTTCAGGAGCACAGCACATTAACTTTTCTACCCCGTTCAAGGCGGCTGGTTGTGAAGCTTGCGGGGCGGTTGTTTCTGGTTTCAATCGTTTTTGTAATGGGGGCAGTGGGCGAGGTGGGTACCTTTTCCTTGCACGGCCTGGATAGCTTCGGACACGGATCGCATTTTGTCCTGACGCCCGCGGGGGACACCACCGGACTGATGAGCGAGCACCTGGTGTCCGCCGAGAGGTTGTCGCGGAGCACGCCGTCTGATCTGACGCATCTGAAGGGGATTCTACGGAGGAGGCAGCTGTACTGCAGGACCGGTTTCCACCTCGAGATCTTGCCCGATGGCACAGTGCAAGGCACCAGGAAAGACCACAGCAGATTTGGTAAGGCATCAGAAAATATTTCGGCGCAACAATGCAGTTATTATACAGTTATGGCAGTAGTATAAGGACTATAATTATCATTGTTATTCTTAGTATTATGAATATGATTATAAATAGACTAATTCTATTTATATTATGAACATTATATTGTTATGATTATGAACACATCTACCTATTGCATCCTGTCTAATCTATAATGTGTGCATGTGTTTTTGTACCATAGTTACTATTCCAGACACCACATAATACATAATGTTCGCACATATTGCAACACAACTCATTTCCTCAATGGAGATTAGATTGGCAGAATTTCTTTACCTTTCCTGACTGACCTTCTTATCAGCAAGATAGCAAATAAAACCTACCGATAACAGCTTCCATTATAGACATAAGAGTATGAATTCAGTATTAAGCATTTAATGATATATCCTTCAATGACTGGCTGAACTCATGACCTTATGACTTGTGACATTTCCTAACTCATAATATCTGATGTTAATCTAATGGTGTCCTGCTGGTTTGATTTGCAGGTATTTTGGAGTTCATCAGCTTAGCTGTGGGGATGGTGAGCATCCGTGGGGTGGACAGTGGATTATACCTGGGCATGAACAGCAAGGGAGACCTCTATGGCTCTGTAAGTATATACATTAGCATATATATATATATATATATAGCCTACATGCTGCCTACATATACCCTTCATAATGCCTACATAGACTGATATACTGTAGGCTACATGTGATATGTCTTGTATTCAGTGCTGCTTCTCCATTCTCATGGGCATCTCTGTGTAGGAGGTGATAACAGAGGTTACTATTCAGCATCATCTGAAAGAGAGAATTCCTCTGCCTCCTCTATTGTCGTGTTAATCAGGGAGCGTGATAAGATATGACCAACCAGCAGGTGGCACACATTTTGTTCTGTAAGGAAATGTCTATGTGCGTGTGAGCATTGACACTGAGATGACACTGCTCTGTTGTGTAAGATTTCACTAATCACCTCTCTCTCCTTCTCTCTCTCTCTCTCTCTCTCTCTCTCTCTAGGAGAAGCTGACAGCCGAGTGTGTCTTCCGGGAGCAGTTTGAGGAGAACTGGTACAACACGTACTCATCCAACCTCTACAGACACGGTGACCGGGGAGCGCACTACTTCGTGGCACTCAACAAGGACGGCACGTCCAGGGACGGCACCCGCTCCCGGCGACACCAGCGCTTCACCCACTTCCTGCCCAGGCCCGTGGATCCCGACCGGGTACCCGAACTCTACAAAGAGGTCCTGGGCCACAGCTGAGACCCGGTGGGAGTGTGTCGGTCCCTGCGTCGCTACTTACCCAGCACACTGCAACGTGACTCTCAGCACTCTCCTATGAAGGGTCTGCATGTCTTCGGTCTCCCTATGGCTTCCTATGGAAACAAAATGGAGGACAGGTCACTTGGGGGCTGTGGGATGGATAGCAAAGATGTGTGGAGCCAGGCCTTGGGGTCTGGGGTCCGCAACAACTCTCCGTCTCCCAAAATGGGTCAAGGCCGTTGCAACCCCAGGAGAAAGGCGTACAGGTGTTTAATAGGGGCTTTTTGGCCAGGGGGCAGGCCCGGTGGCCATCTTTGTTTTGGGCGTTGTGTTGTAAGGTGAAAGGATCACCTCCAGAGCTGCTGATGTCATCTTTCCGGATGGTTGTTCTTCACCACCCCCTGAGTGGCTTTTGAGATTCTGATTGGTCAATCTGACTTTAGTGAAATGGGAGTAGGAGAAGAAGAGCGGATGGTCCTCCAGCGGAGTGTAGACTTTGTGCTCTTCTGTGGTATCCCAAGGTGGACTGTTTTGACGAAACACTCTAGAAGACTTGTGAAGGAATTCTGTTCTCTACCTTTTGTTACTGCATTCTATTCCCTGACGCGAGCATGGACGAGAAAAAAAAAAGACTTACAAAAAAGAACCTTAACCTGTTTCTGTTTTTTTTATTTATGCATTTTTCTGGGACATATATTTATTTTATATATTTATTTATTTTAAGAATATATTTTTTACAGGTATACATAAGATATTAAAAAGAAGCCATCAGAGATTTATTTTGTGCCACTGTGTAAAGTACTGCATTTGACGTGTCCTTTCAAACTGACTGAAGAAAGTATTTTCCTATGAGTTTTTATTTAGACAATGGTTTGTGTAAGGCCGCGTTGTCACGGTTCCCGAGCTTGTCATCATCGGGGGCGTCCATGTTTCTCTTATGTCATCGAAAGAGCCAGAGTTCCACTGGGTTCCAGTGAGGAATAAACCTGTTAACACTTCAGATACACTGGTCT